AGGGAGATGCTAACGGAGTGCTCATTATTTGGTCAGATTCTAGAGCCACTTGTTTCCCCACTCAAAGTCGGTCAATTTTAAATTATTTTGTGACTAAGCTAGCAGAACTGATAATTATACAATACCTAGGGTTGTTGTGTCCAAGGGGCAAGTATCCCATGATGTGATTTCTTCTACTGGTTCTTCCATCCTCTCACCTCACAGCCCCCTGGTATTGCCACAGAGACATTTTCCAGAGTAGGACAGGTGTGGATTTCTAAAGATGCCTCCCAGTAAGCACGCATAGAGTGGGCTTGAGATGGGAAACGGAGAGCTGTGAATGGCCTCAGGGTGGCCACGGAAAGATGTGATGCTAATGCCCATGAATTAGGATGTCCCTGTGCAGACCGCACTCGGGGAGAATTACAACATGCAGTTCAGAACCACATGCTTTAGAATCACAGAACCACAGTATTTCCAAAGATCTGACCAAGGAACGGGATCTAAACTCAAAGGTTCTGGGAGGCCTCATACTTCTCTTCTGTTATGAGATGAAGACAGGTGCGGCTGTAGAGGGTGTTTTCTAAATTTAGATGGGATTTCAAGAAAGGCATATTGGCAACCAGGATCTCCTTCCCCAGCCCTGCAATTCTTCCTTAGTTGTATCCCAAGGTGGTGGAAAGAAGTGTTGCACATGTAAAAAATCAAGGTTCAGCAAAGTTTAACATTCTCCTCACACATAACAGCATTTTTGTTGTTTTCTAGTAATCATTTTGAGCATATACACATACTATTTTAAGTCTGGTTCTGAGTTTTTGCAAAAGGATAGTAATTCTATCAAAAGATGGAGAACACTCCATCACCCCAAAAGAACACTCGTTATGCCCCTTTGTACAAAAGCTGATGTTTTAGGTCCCTGTTTGCCTTTTCCAGAATGTAATATAAATAGAACATATTACCATGAGTCATTTGTGAAGTTTGATGCCGTATTTGTAAAAGTGCGTAATTTCTTGCAGTGTTCTTCTGATTTTAAAATTCTGACACTGCTCAGCTAAGTAGGCAGCACACATTAGGCTTTCAAAACTGAGATTCCATCACTCTGAGCTCTGTGAGTTTGGGTAATAACCTGTTCTTTGCTAAACTTTCTCATTTGTAAGAGGGAATGATTAGCAGGGGGATCAAGGGAAGGCTAATAATTATGAAATGACAATTTCTACAGTGCTAAGAAAACAGGTTGGCACTAAAAAATCAACAAAGATTGGCCTTCCTTTGATCTTTAATGAAACTCAAAGCTGTTACTTTTGTGTTCTCCTAGTCCATTAACATGTGATGGAAGTCTAAGCATATGGAAATGACAGCTGTGAACAGGAAGATGGTCTACGGGGCTTTGTGGATCATTGAAACCAAAAGCTTCCAACTACTCCTCTTGCAGAAAGGCATTATAAATTTCCCATATCTCCTTTTATGTTAAATTAGGATATTACTCAAAGTGATACCCTCTCTGCAGGTCACCTCAATTAATTCTTGGATGATTGCCTTCTAAACATTCATAGCTCTTTTTGGTGTTTCCACCAGGAAATCATAGCGGACTTGCATAAATATACCTTTATTCATAGAATAAATTCAGGATGGGCTAGAACAGTGCAGATGAACATAACCTTTTTTAAAATTGGGAGTAACTCCAGGGTTTAATGGGTTATGTATTCTGTCAAGAAGTAAAATGAAATGCCAAATACTAAAAAATTTGAAAATAAAGGTGAATTTAAATTCTCTTAAATAATTTTAAACACAAAAAGACACCACAAATATCTGTGGCTTAAATTAGTGGGAAGTGTCAAGTCCCAGATACCCATGTTCAAATCCACGATCACATTACAGAACGACGTCTGTATCTTTATAGGGAATCTTTTGTTAATCCCAGGAATGCAGTACTTTCTATACCAAAGCAGTTCCTGAAACGATGTTTAAGGTGTAGTACATGGTGGAAATTCAAGTGATCAATAACAGTCACTCACTGAGGCTCCTACCTTCATAGAAAAAGTATATACACACCCCAGCTGCCCTAATATCTCACATTTTTTTACATCCCATCAAAGCTCTTATTTCCATCTCATAAACCAAACTGTTACCATTTGTTAACCATCTCTCTTCTCTCACAAAAACATGAGCACCAGGACTGCAAGATACTTAATGTTTCATGCCTCTATATCCAAGTCCTATAGTACCTTGATTATCTGTGCTAAATTAGGTATGTTTTTAATGTAATGTCTGGTAGATGAGGCATGTTGAAAAATTAGCATCAAGAGTATGGTCTCTGAACAATAAAAGCTTGATTGGAATAGTGGTCCTTTCTTCCTTGCTAGGTTTATGTTCTCTCACAATTTACCTAAATAAATAGGCGTCATTTGAGTCATATCGGAGACAAAAAAAANCCTTTCTTCCTTGCTAGGTTTATGTTCTCTCACAATTTACCTAAATAAATTGTGTCATATAGGAGTCATTTGAGTCATATAGGAGACAAAAAAAGTTTTACAAACTTTACTAAGAAGGGGATTTATATATTTTCGCTGATGTACTACTTTATAATAAAGTGTCCATCCAATACTCTTTAGGAAATATATCAATGTTTAGACAATGAATAGGGAAGACAAAAGCTGTTCCAGTGGACTGGGAGCTGGCCTTGCATTCTCTTATTGTGTTGAAAATAAAAATGTCAATCACTTCCATCATCAGACAAAGCTGTTCAGTGACCATGATGAATCAAGACAAAAATAAGGGTATTTTTTAACCATCTCTCTAAAGAGAACAATTTCAAATCATAGCAATGACCAAAATTGCCCACTTATCATGACTGATGGGAGTTTCTTATGAGTTAGGTTTAGCTCTACTACAGTTTTTGCCTTTTAGAAAACAATGCTTTTGACTATCAATGACAGACTTATGCTTACCTCCTCACAGCATCCAATACATCCAGAAATGTCTTGTTTCCTTGAATAGCAACCAAGGTACCTGCAAAAGCCCAAATTATATATGCCATTTTGAGCACTCTCTTACTAACAAATCCAGTCATTTAGGGTTTACAGTCTTTTTTTTTTTTTTAAAGTATGTTTTTATTGATTTTAGAGTATAAGGGAGAGGGAGATAGAAACATCGATGAGAGAGAAACATTGCTCAGCTGTCGCCTGCATGTCTCCAACTGAGGACTGAGCCCGCAACCCAAGCATGTGCCCTGACTGGGAACTGAACCGGCAATCTCTTGGTGCATAGAATGATGCTCAACCAAGTGAGCCACACCAGCTGGGCTACAATTATTAACAGTACAATATATCCTACTCTTGCAGGCTGCTGGTGTGATCCTGGTGGGTTTTGACAAGATGGCACTGACAAAACAAATGCCTGAGAAATTAGTTTTAAGACAAAAACTATAAAAGGATAAAAACAATACGATTTACCTGAGGAAAAAAATAACCAAACATGTAAACACAAGGTAATGAGAATATAAAACTATTAACTTGACAAAATTACAAAGTTGATCTGCNAAATGCCTGAGAAATTAGTTTTAAGACAAAAACTATAAAAGGATAAAAACAATACGATTTACCTGAGGAAAAAAATAACCAAACATGTAAACACAAGGTAATGAGTGAGAATATAAAACTATTAACTTGACAAAATTACAAAGTTGATCTGCTGGGATATTTTAATATACTAAGTGCTCAGGAAATGAAAATCACAATAATTGTTATATACAAATTGTATGAAAACAGTTAATAAAATATTCCTAAGAACTTACCAAAGATTTTGACAAAAATGCAGTTTTTAATCACAAACACCAACTGAAAACATACTGCAGAATTATGTACAGCTGTGAGCAATGGGAAACATCTGCCTAATATGAAGAAGGTGCTTATTCTCACATGGACAGAGTGGGTCAGAGAAATTACTACACAGTGCAGTAGAGGAACAAACTCCAACATGGTTTTTTTAAAACAGAAATTTAAAATTTATTTGAGAGAGAGAGGGAGGGAAGGAGGGAGAAAGGGAGGGGGAGGGGCAGAGAGAGAGAGAGGAATTGTTGTTCCACTTATTTATGTACTCATTGGTTGATTCTTGCACATGTGCCCTGACCGGGGATTGAACCTATGACCTTGGTGTATTGGGATGCTGCTGTAACCAACTAAGCTATCTGGCCAGGGCCAACGTGGTTCTTTTGGACAGCACTACTGAAGCTGTCATAGTGGAATCAGGAATACATGGTCATGAGCAGTATTACCAGAACAAGGTGTTTACTAATTAGACTTTATATGAATCCAATCTAGAGGCAATGGAAGTCCAAGTATCAGAGAATACTCCAAACCATGAAAGTTCAACTTAGTTGCCTGGTGGAGACATAGAAAATTACAGGAAAATTGAAACAATGATGGATTTTTGATGTGGAACTTATGAAGATGTGTGGAAACCTACATCTCTGAGAAAATGGAAGTTAAGCAGTTGATTGTGGTTTTGAGGATACTCTTGATTGGCAGAACAAGGAATCAGAAAAACTACCTGGAAGCAGGTGTCCTTAAAGCTCCTGTGCATCTGTTTCCCTCCCTGTATGGTGGCTCCAAAAACTAAACAATGCCTCCTGTACCCCTGCATTCCAAATCTCACACAAGTGAGGATATAGGTGAATTCTAACATGAAAAAATTTTTTCTTAACGTAAAATGGGTTTTATTTTCCGGGGAATGAGACTAATTGAACAAGCCAAATCCCATGTTGTCATCTGACTCCTCTGATTCCTCCTTCTCATCTTTCTTCTCCTCAGCTGCAGCTAACATGGAACCATAAAAGAAACAGATCCTAGAAATTGTCACATTACCCAGGTGACAAAACACAATTTATAAGAGCCATCTCCAATTCTACATGTTATTGTCCAATAACAGGTCTGTATGAATGCAAAGTCTATTACTTAAGTCCCAGCCTGAAGGAATGACAAAGAGCAAAAGGCAAAATATGTAAATACAGTTTACCCTTGAACAATATGGGTTTGAACTGTGCAGATCCACTTATTCATGGATTTTTTTCTATTGACTTACACAGTCCAAACATCAACTCCGTGGCTGGGAATCTGTGTATGTAGAGGGCTGACTGCAGTCATACTCAGATTTTCAACTGTATGGGAGGTCAGCACCCCTAACACCTGCATTGTTCAAGGGTCAACTGTCATTCACATGAGACTATACTCTATAATAAACTGCAATATTTACAAATTTAAGTCATCTTTTATTAGCAAGGAAAATGGAATAAAATGGAATAAGGGTCTTCTGGCCAAAACAAGAGAGTAGGTTTTCTCATAAGAAAGATGGAATATATAATGGGTACGGGATATCCAGTACTTGGCACAGGTGGACAGTAGGAAAATCCCAACAAATACCAAAATATCATTTATCAATAGCTTCTTATTTATAAAACAATAGGATCATAAAAATTAAACCTACCTGTATATTAGAAATACACTTCTGTTTACCTATAGATCAAACAGTCTCCAAAATGAAGAGAGAAAAATGTTAACTTATTTAAGGAGAAAATACCCATTAATCTTATCTAGTATTGCTTGAAGAGTATTGCCTCAATGTTCATTTTTGGAAGTAGTAAATATCCACAGTTCAGAAGTCCACTTTAAAAATGCACTGATAAAGACAATATATTTATAATTTTTATAATAATTCTTTCATATTATAGTTTTCTGGAACATTATATATGGATTAATTTGTATCAGACTTTCTCATATTACTTATATTTACAGGGTTTCATTCCAGGGGGCTTTCACATGTAAGAATGAAGGCCAGCTGATGTCTTTGTCCACACTGCTTACACTCAAGAGGTTTTTATTTAGTATGAGATCTTTCATGCCTTCTAAAGGAACTGGGACGACTAAAAGCTTTCCCACATATTTTACATTTGTATGGTTTCTCGCCAGTGTGCATTCTCACATGACCTCGATAGGTAGTACGATAAATGAAGGCTTTTCCACATTCTTTACATTCATAGGGTTTCTCTCCAGTATGAGTATTTTCATGTGTTCGAAATGATGTGTAACAACTGAAGGCTCTACCACACTGTTTACATTCATAGGGCTTCTCTCCAGTGTGAGTCCTTTGATGTATTCTAAATGAACTGGGAAAATTGAAGGCTTTCCCACATTCCTTACATTTATAAGGTCCATCTCCAGTATGCATTATCATGTGTGTTCGAACACTTGAGGAAGAAATGAAGGCTTTCCCACATTCTTTACATTTATAAGGTTTCTCTCCAGTGTGCTTTCTCATGTGTCCTTGAAAGGTTGTGCGATAAATGAAAGTTTTCCCACATTCTGTACATTCATAGGGTTTCTCTCCAGTGTGTGTTCTTTCATGTATTCGGAAGGAACTGGGCCAACTGAAGGTTTTACCACACTGTTTACATTCATATGGTTTTTCTCCAGTGTGAGTCCTTTCATGTGATCGAAAAGAACTGGGACAAATGAATGCTTTCCCACATTCCTTACATTTATAAGGTCCTTCTCCTGTGTGTGTTATCATGTGTGTTCGAATGCTTGAGAGAGAAATGAAGGCTTTACCACATTCCTTACATTCATAGGGTTTCTCTCCAGTGTGAATTCTTTCATGTATTCGTAAACCTAGAGGAGAACTGAAGGTTTTGTCACACTGTCTACATTCATATTGTTTCTCTGCAGTGTGAGTCCTTTCATGTCTTCGAAAAGAACTGGGACAACTGAGGGCTTTACCACACTGCTTACATTCATAGGGTTTTTCTCCAGTGTGATTTCGTTCATGTATTCGCAAACCTAGAGGCGATCTCAGGGATTTACCACACTGTTTACATTCATAGGGTTTCTCTCCAGTGTGAGTTCTTTCATGTGCTCGAAATGAAGTGGAACAACTAAAGGCTTTCCCACATTCATTACATTTATAAGGAGCATCTCCAGTGTGTGTTATCATATGTCTTCGAAAGGTTGTGAGCCATGTGAAGGCTTTCCCACATTCCTTACATTCATAAGGTTTCTCTCCAGTGTGAGTCCTTTCATGTCTGTGAACAGATTTGTGGTAACTGAAGGCTTTCCCACATTCCTTACATTTATATGGCTTATCTTCATATTCGTGATACTCATAAGGTTTGTGTCCAGTGTGAGATCTGATATGTCTATTAAGGGATGAATGACGCACGAAGACTTTTCCACATACACTACATTTAAATGATTTTACACCAGAAGTAGTTCTCTTGTTCAGATTAAGATTTGGAATCTGGCTGATGGTTTCTCCACACTGATTACCTTCTTTACTTTCATGGAATTTTTCTACCATATGACTTCTGTAAAAAATGAGAAATATTATTATTTTTTTGGTTAATTTCCTATTTATCAGTAGGTTGTTGGAATTATATTTTTATAATTTACAACACAAGTGAACGTTTTCTGTCCTTTCTGAATTGTTTCAATATACTGATGCTCTGTAAGAGGACTTAACCTTAGCTATTCTGAAAACAGTGATATTAATATATGAGGTTAAGGGTAAATAAATTTGAAGTTGTTTTATTTGCTTGTTTTTAAAAATCCATGACATGTTAGAATTCTCATGTGGAACAATGCTGTTTATTGAGTGACTCACCGTAGTTTTCTCTCCTGGGTTTTGTACTGATATTCAGTGTTATGATCTTCCCAGTTTTCTCCTAAATGCAGACCTAGAAAAATAATTCCAAATTATTAGAAATTAGAAAAAAAAAATTAGGTTCTGAGAGAACAAGATGGTGGAATAGGTAACAGAGGTATCCGCTGCCTCCCACAACCACATCAAAATTACAACTAAAATACAGAACCACCATCATTCAGAACCTCCTGAAATCTAGCTGAACAGAAGTCCTACAACTAGGGAACTGAAGAAGCATCGACACCAGTAGGAGGGGAGGAGATGCAGGGCAGATCAGGGCAGATCTGTGGAGACATGGCCGCAGTCCTGCATCAGTGGTTTAAAACCGGGAGGGATATCTTGGCGGTGGAGGTTTCCCGGAGGAGTGAGGCCCCCTGCCCAGGGTTCCAGTGCTGGGAAGAGAAGTCCCCACAACTTAGGTCTGTATAAAACCAGCGTGGAGTGAGGCTGAGTGAAGTGGAGGCTGAGGGAGTCTCAGGCAGCATCTCTTAAAGGGCCATCACACGGACTTACTCTGACACACTCCCTCTGAGCTCCAGTGCTGGGAAGCAGCTTGAAAGGAACCTGGGACATTTGGCGAGGAACTAACTTGCATGGAATTGGGGCAAGAGCTGGAGGGGCAGCTTTCTCCCAGACAGAGAGCTAGCAGGGGTCATTGCTCCTTTGACGAGCCTTCCTCCCCTTGAGTCAGCAAGCAGGCGCCATATTTGAATCACCAGCAACCTGACTCACACCTTTCGCCCCACTCTGGTGATTCCCAGAGACCCTGCCCCTCTCTACTTCCAAACTCATCCAAGCCATTTGCAGTGGCTTTTCCATGCAAGTGGCCTCTCTAGCTCATGCTTAAGACTTTCCTAAAATCTCTAAAACAAGCAGCAGCGGCCCCAGGCCTTGCACAAGCCGCAGCCTGCACTGATTCATACCTTGGACTCTCCTGCGCACCTACAAGCCCAGCACAAGTAGCAGCCATCTATGGTTTGTTGTGCAGCTCATGCTGGGTGGCCCTCAGCAAGGCACAGGAAGAGGCTGACTTTGAACCTCCTGGGAGGCCCCAGAGTCAGTGTACCTAGTGGTCAGCTTCAACCATGCTGGACTACAGCCCTACAACATCCACAAATGACACACTCAAGAGGAAGACTCAGTGAACACCAAAGCTCCACTGAAGTAAATCCTGCTCCCTAGGGTTGTCTCCAGCACACTAGCTCTTTGGCTATAGCTGTAGCTGGTCCTCACAGCTGATTGGCCTGGGGGTCAATTCCTCCCAGGGACACCAATAGCAACCAAGGCTCAACTACAATGGGACAATGCACACAGCCTACACAGGGGAGCACCTAGAAGGCCCAGCTCAGGTGACTGGGGAGGCTGAGCTACTGGACCCTACAGGACACCTACTACACAAAGTCATTCTACGAATTCCAGGAGACATAGCAGCTCTTCCTTATACATAGAAACAAATACCAGGAAGCAGACAAAATGTGGAGGCAAAGAAACATGTCACAAATGAAAGAACAGAAGAAATCTCCAGAAAAAGAACTAAATGAAATGGAGCCAAGCAAGCTAGTAGATATAGAGTTCAAAATAACGGTTATAAGGATGCTCAAGGGTCTTAGTAAGACTATTAAGGAAACTAGCAAGATCATCACTGACATAAAGTACCAATGAGAAATGAAGGCTACACGAACTGAAATGAAGAATAACTTATAGGAAATCAACAGTACAGCAGAGGACACTGAGAATCAAATCAGCAATTTGGAATATGAGGAAACAAAAAACACCCAGTCAGAAGAGCAAAAAGAAAAAAGAATCCAGAAATATGAAGATAGTGTAAGGAGTCTCTGGGACAATTTCAAGCGGCTCAACATTTGCATTATGGGAATGCCAGAAGGAGAAGAGAGCAAGAAGTTGAAAACCTGTGAAAAAATAATTACAGAAAACTTACCGTACCTGGTGAAAGAAAAAGACTTACAAGTCCAGGAAGCAGAGTACCAAACAAGAGAACCCAAAGAGGCCCACACCAAGACATATAATTAAAATGCCAAAGGTTAAAAACAAAGATAGAATCTTAAAAGCAGCAAGAGAAAAGCAGTGAATTACCTACAAGGTAGCACCCATATGACTGTCAGCTCATTTCTCAACAGAAACTTTGTAGTCCAGAGTGAGTGGTAAGAAATATTCGAAGTGATGAAAAGCAAGAACTTACAACAAAGATTACTCTACCAGCAAAGCTATCATTTAGAAATGAGGGTCAGATAAAGAGCTTCACAGATAAGAAAAAGCTAAAGGAGTTCATCACCACCAGACCAGCACTACAGGACATGTTGAAGGGTCTTCTTTAAGAAGAAGCTAATGAACAAAGGAATCTGACAAACTAAATAGATCCAGAGACATTGATGCATGCAACAGACGGTTGTATCTCAGAGGAAGAGGGAAGGGGAGTGGGAAGAGATTAACCAAAGAAGTTATATGCATATATGCATAACCCACGGACACAGACAATAATGGGGTGAAGGCCTGGGGAGGGTGTGGGAGTGAGGTAGAGGGGGTCAATGGGGGGAAAAAAGGGACACCTGTAATACTTTCAACAATAAAGATAAATTTAAAAAAATTATTAGATTCTAAGTCCATGATGAATTCTGACCATGCTTAGTTTATTTACTAATATATTCCCTTTTCCACATCTTGAAACAACACTGATGTGCAAGAAATACTTGTTAAGAGCTGAATCTGCAAAAGGGGGGTGGAGATTAGATGCATTCAGAAGAAAAAGGACTACTATATATATGAAATTTTCTTTTATATAAACCAAATGCTGACCCCACAGAAAAAACCCCAAATTGAGACAGATAACTTAAAAGGAAAAAAAGGAAATAGAAGAAAAAAGGATAAAATACCACCAAACAAACACAACAGACAGAAACACATAGGAAAAGAACCAATGGAGGCACAGAGCTACCAGAAAACAAAGGATAAAATGGCTATAGGAAATCTACATACAATCAATAATTACCTTAAATGTAAATGGACTGAATTCACCAATAAGGAGGCACAGAGTAGCCCTGGACAGTCTTGCTCAGTGGTTAGAGCATTGGCCGTGGACCAAAGGGTCTCAGGTTTGATTACCAGTCAAGGGCATGTACCTCAGTTGCAGGTTCAATCCCCAGCCACAGTTGGGGCGAGTGCAGGAGGCAACTAATCGATGTGTCTTTCTCATGTTGATGTTTCTTTTTCTTTTTTTTCCTCTCTCTCTCCCTCTCTCCCACTCCCTCCCTCCCCTTCACTTTCTAAAAAAAAATCAATGGAAAAATTATACTCAGGTGAGGATTANCTTTTCCTCTCTCTCTCCCTCTCTCCCACTCCCTCCCTCCCCTTCACTTTCTAAAAAAAAAATCAATGGAAAAATTATCCTCAAGTGAGGATTAAAAAAAAAAAAAAAGAGGCACAGATTGGATAAAAAAACAAAGCCTAGCCTTATGTTGTCTTCAGGAGACTCGTCTAAGGTGCAAGACAAATATAGACTCATACTGAAATGGTGGAAAATGATTCTCCATGCAAATGGCATCCACAGAAAAGCAGGTGTAGACATACTTATATCTGACAAAACAGATTTCAAGATAACAAAGGTAACAAATGACAAAGATGGACATTTTATAATGATAAAGGGAACACTACATCAAGAAGACGTAACACTTTTCAATACATATATATCCAATAAGGGAGCACTGAAATATAAAGGAACTACTAAGAGAACCAAAGAGAGACACTGACAAAAACACAATTATAGTAGGGGACCTAAATACCCCATTGACAGCTATAGATAAATCATTTAAACNACCAAAGAGAGACACTGACAAAAACACAATTATAGTAGGGGACCTAAATACCCCATTGACAGCTATAGATAAATCATCTAAACAGAAAATCAATAAAGAAATATCAGCCTTAAATGACACATTAGACCAAATGGACATAATTGACACTTACAGAGCCTTTCATCCCAGGACACCTGATTATACATTCTTCTCCAGTGCACATGGAACACCCTCAAGGACAGACCATATGCTGCATCACAAAACTAGCCTCAACAAATTTAAGAAGATTGAACTCGCTCTGGCCAATGTGGCTCAGCTGGTTGGGCATCATCTGTGCACGGAAAGGTTGCCGGTTCAGTTGCCAGTTCAATTCCCTGTTGGGGCACATCCTGGGTTTTGGGCTCAATCTTTGGTGGGGAGTGTGCAGGTGGTCGATCAATGTTTTGTTTTCACATCCATGTTTCTCTCTCTCTCCTCTCCCTTTCTCTCTAAAAATCAATACAAAATCTAAAAATAAAATTGCACTCGTACCAAATATATTCTTCAACCACAATGCTTTGAAATTAGTAGTCAACTGCAAAAAGAAAGAAAGAAAAAAGAAAACCCCCACAAAATAACCACCCCACAAATATGTGAAGATTAAACAACATGCTACTAAAAAAATGACAAGGTCAAAGAAGAAATAAAAGGAGATCAAAAGACAGAGATAAATGAGAATGACAAGATGACATGTCAAAACTTTTGGGACGCAGTGCAAGCAATAACAAAAAAAAAAAATTTGTTCTCTGACAAATTAAGTAAGAAAGTTGTCATCCTTACCTATGGAGGCCAGGTTCCTGAAGGTTTCCTTCATCACATCTCTATAGAGTTTCTTCTGTGAAGGATCCAGTAAAGCCCACTCCTCCAGGGTGAAGTTCACAGCCACATCCTCAAAGGTCACTGAGTCCTAAAACATTGCAAATATGTATATAGTAGGATGTGTGAATCTAACAGCACTGGGGATTTATACTGAATTTATAGGAAGGTTACATATGATTCTGTGGTCTCCAAACATTTATTTTATGTCTTGGTCATCAGAAACTTATTCTGTCCACACTTCCTCATAAATTTAACAGCATCATGCAATACTTGCATCCTCCCATAACCATATCAAAATTACAACTGAACTACAGAACCACCATCATTCAGAACCACCTGAAATGTAGCTGTACAGATGTCCTACAACTAAGGATATAAAGAAGAAGCCACATTAAGACTGGTAGGAGTAGAGATGTGGAATGGGCTGGTCCCACACCCACATGTGGTGGTTAAAAATCAGGAGGGATATCTCGGCTGGGGAGGTCCCCCCTGATGAGCAAGGGGTCTCAGTCCCACACCAGCCCAGGGTTTCAGTGCCGGAAAGAGAAGTCTCTATAACTTCTGGCTGTGAAAACCAGTGGGGATTGTGGCTGAGACAGAGGGCTGCTGGAGTCCCAGGTGTTCCTCTTAAAGAACTGGTGCACAGGCTTAAGCAGACTTACTCCCTCTGAGTTCCAGCACTGGGGCAGCAGCTCAAAAGATGCCAGAGACATACTGGCATGAATGGAATTGTCTGGCATCAGGGTGAGGGCTAGAGGGGCAGCCTTCTCCCAGACAGAAGTACTGGCAGAGGCCATTGTTCACGTACCCTGCAGAGCCAGCAGCTGAGTGCCATATCTGAGTCTCCATCAATCTGACTAACACTGTCTCCCCACCCTGGTGATTCACTGAGACCTCACCCCAACCACTGAAGCCGTCTCCAGTGGCTTTTCCATACCAAAAGCCTGTCTTGGCTCATGCTGTGATCTTTCTTAAAATCTCTCAAAGGTTCACAAATCCCAAACAAGCAGCATCTGGCCTCTGCATGCTGCATACCTCTTGCTCAATGGCTCCAAGCCCAGAACTAGCATCAGCCAGACTTGGTTTTCAGCTTGGCCTCTCCTGGGCACCTTCAAGCCCAGAACAAGTAGCAGCCACCTACAGACTGCTTTGTAGTTCATGCCAGGTGGCCCTGGGCAGGGCACAGGAGGCAGCTGACCTTGGCCTGCATCTCCCAGGAGGACCCTGGTCCAGTGCATCTGGTGGCCAGCTTCAGATAATGCTGAGCCCCACTGAAAGGAGTTCTGCTCCGTGGGGTTTGCTCCTGCACAGCAGCATCTCTGATGTAGTCACAGTCAGTCCTCAAAGACAACTGGCCTAGGGTATTAATCCCTCCCAATGATATGCCAAGAGCAATCAAGGATCAACTACAACAGAAGTATACACACAGCCCACAAAGAGGGTGTACCTGGAGTGCCCTGCTCAGGTGACCTGAGAGGCTACACCACTGGGCCCTACAGGATATGTACCACATAAGGCCACCTCACCAAGACTGGGAGACACAGCAGATCTACCTTTTACATAGAAACAAACACAGAGAGACAGCCAATATGGGAGACAAAGAAACCTGTCCCAAATGAAAGAACAGAAATAATCTCTGGAAGAAGAAATAAATGAAATGGAGGCAAACTACCAGATACACAGTTCAAAACAATGGTTACAAAAATGCTCAAGAAACTTAGTGAGAATTCCAATGGCATAAAAAAAGAAAATAGAAATTATAAAAACCAGTCAGAAATAAAGAATACAGTAACTAAAATGAAGAATACATTAAAGGGAATCAACAGATGAAATGAAGCAGAAGACTGAATCAGTGGGTTGACAGATAAGAAAGCAGAAAATATCCAATCAGAATAGCAAAAAGAAAAAAGAATCCAAAAAAATGAAGACAGTTTAAGGGGCCTCTGGGACAACACCAAGCATACCAGCATTCATATCATGGGGATGCTGGAAGAAGAAGATAGAGCAAGGAATTGGAAACCTATTTGAAGAAATGGTGACAGAAAACTTCCTTAACCTGGCAAAAGAAATGGATAAGCACAAGAATTGCAGAGTCCTAAACAAGATAAACCTAAAGAGGTCCACACCTAGACGCATCATAATTAAAATGGCAAAGGTTAAAGACAAGGAGAGAATCTTAAAAGCAGCAAGGGAAAAGCAGTTACCTGTAAGTGAAGGGATTAAGAAGTACCAATTGTAGTCATGGGGATGTAAAGTACAGCATAAGGAATATAGTCAATAACATTGTAATAACTATATATGGTGTCAGATGGGTACTAGATTTATTGGGTTGATCACTTCATAAGTTATATAAATGTCTAATCATAGGGCATGATTAGACACCTGAAACTAATATAATATTGTACTTCAACTGTTGTTAAATTAAAAATTATTTTAAAAATTCATCAGAAGAAGGTAAAAGATAAGAAAGTTAGAGCATAAGAAAAGGAATTAGTGAAGGTAAAATATCTTCTTTTTCCTACTATTTGTACTTAATCTGACAAATACTACTTTGTTTAAGTTAGTAACAGTAACAATGTATTCAGTAATTATAGTTTATGGATAAGTGAGACAAACGATAGCAATGCTAGAAGGGAGAGACAGATGAATTGAAAATAGAACTTACCCTAATAAGATGGGTTTGAACTGTGTGGGTCCACTAACATGTGGATTTTTTAAAGCCTCCTCAGCAACTCCCCAGGCCCCCCTGCAGATACTCAGAAATGTAGACAAAGCCCACAACTACCTGTAACTAAACAAACCAAAGGGGGGGAAATGGATAGGAGAGCCATTTTTGTTGTCGTTAAACCTCACCAGAGGATATTTTTTCCATTGTTTTTTAGAAAGTGAAAGGGAGTGAGGGACAGAGTAAGGAAGGGAGGGAGGGGGAGAGAGAGAGAAAGACAGATGTGAGAGACACATAATTGGTTGCCTCCTGCACAAGCCCTGACTGGAGGTAGGGAAAGAACCTGCAACCCAGGTCGCGCCCTTGACCAGGAATTGAATCCGCGACCCTCCAGTGTGCAGGCTGACGCTCTAACCACTGTGCAACACCAGCCAGGGCTTGACCAAGTGTTTTAAAACTTTTGATATTATTTGACAAACTTCCCAAAATTCAAAAATTAAAGTCTTTTCCTTTCCCTGAAAATAACTTTTGAGATTTTTAAGAAGATTCCTGAAACATTTAAAATGACCTCTCTCTTTCTAAAACGGGGAAATTAAAATAAGTAGGCCTGTTTGCCATGCTAATATACAAGGGAAGCATTGTCAAATAAGGAATAATAATTATGTTGTATTTGTAAGCATTATTACCAAAACAGTATGTTCTAGAAATCATATAAAATTTCTAAAGATCTAAAATGTCCTATGTTATCATTTATAATTCTGTTATCTTAAAATATTCAGAGTTGAACAGAAAAGCAAATTTCTTTGTCAACTGCACCGTAATCCGATCTCTAAACATGTCATTGATAATCAGGAAATTCACAGAAATCAGGAAAATATTAAAAATTAAAATAACAAAAAGGGTATAAAGTCATGCATCACTGAACACTGGGGATATGCTCTGAGAAATGCATCAATAGGTGATTTTGTTGTGCAGACATCACAGAGTGCATTTACACAAACCTAGATGGTGTAGCCTACTAAACACCTAGGCTATATATAGTATAGCCTATTGCTCCTAGGCTACAAACCTGTACGTTGTGTTATTGTACTAAATACTGTAGGCAATTGTAACTGTAATATGTTGTGCTATAACATTATGATAGCTGTGATATCACTAAGTAATAGTTTTTCAGCTCCATTATAACCTTATGGGACCACTGCCATACACGAACTCTGTTGCTGACCGAAACGTCATCATGTGGTACATGACTGTAGTTGAATCAAACAGCACCAAACAACTGGTTTGAATGAAATTCATGGAATACTTCATCTACTGATAGCAGAATACATACTCTACTCAAGTTCACATGGAATATTCACCAAGACAAACCATCTTCTGTAACATAAAACATACCTTAACACATCTGAAAGAGCAGAAATCATACAAAATAATGCTTTTAGACTCCAATGGCATTAATCTAGAAATAAGTAACAGGAAAATAGCTGGAAAGCCCCCAAACACATGGAAATTAAGCAACACTTTTTATTTTTTATTTTGAGAGTATGTTTATTAAAGATGGGGACAGTGAAACAAGGAAGGGCTTAGGATAAAAGGAGGCACAGGAGAGAGCCTAGGCAGGGCTACTTTGGCTCCCCAGACATGTTATAGGAAAGCAATAAGCCTAGGAAAGACTGCTTTGGCTTACTGAGAAGTAAAAGACACAGCAACAGAAGTGAGCCAAGGCGGGGCTGCTGTTAGCCACTGAAAAGTCAGAGAATAGGGGGCCTCAGAGACAGGTTCAGGGGGTTAGCCCAGGACGAGATGCTGCTGCCCATTGGTCCCCTGGTTGCAAGTCTCGTGGAGACTCTTAAAGTTTAGGAGTTGCACTCCTGAGAGGGAAGAAAGGCATGGTCATGCTCCCACGAGGGAGAGTGCTGCCTAAACAACATTTCTAAATAACACAGAGAATTTAAAAAGTCTCTAGCCCTAGCTGGTTTGGTTCAGCGGTTAGAGTCAGCCTGCGAAATGAAGGGTCCCGGGTTCGATTACGGTCAAGGGCACATACCTGTGTTGCAGGCTGGATCCCTGGCCCCAGATGGGGTGCCTGTGGGAAGCAACCAAGCAATGTGTCTCTTTCACATTGATGCTTCTGTTNTGTTGCAGGCTGGATCCCTGGCCCCAGATGGGGTGCCTGTGGGAAGCAACCAAGCAATGTGTCTCTTTCACATCGATGCTTCTGTTTTTCTCTCCCTCCCTTCCACTCTCTCTGAAAAGCAATGGAAAAAATATCCTCGAGTGAGGATTTAAAAAAAAAAGTTTCTAGGGAAATCATAGCTTATTTTGAATTACAGATGCTCCTTGACTTATGAAGGGGTTACATCCTGATAAACCCATCGTAAGTTCAAAATGCATTTAATCTAACCTACCAAACATTATATCTT